ATCCCTTCTCCTCCATTCTCCTCTCGGGATCTTGGGCATGCACACACACGCGCCTGGTGTGAGTTTTAAGGCACCGGGTCCGGGACGTGAACCGCGGTCGACTACATGGGAGTCCAGCGACATAGCCATTACGCTAACTGCTGGTTCCCGCTATTTCTTCACCACATGTAGACTGTGGCTAAAATGAGAGAGCTGGATGGCAACAGAAAAGAGATTTCCTAGCATGGAAATCTTTTTTGAGAAGCTTTGCCTTAGGAGACATACAGCTTTTGCAGACCTACTTGGCTGTTTTTGCCATGGAAAAGTGTATTCCCAAGCCCTGGTCTTTTCTTCATAAACATATATGGTAACATGGGTTATAAACCACGGGCATGCTTTAAGCAGAGGCTAGTACATGCACTGCTGCTGGGATGCTCAGTTGTGTCACTAACACAGCATTTATCAAACAACCAGTTCAAACTGTGAGCAGGAAATGAACTTCCTGATAAAATAGGCAAAAGATTATAGACCCCAAACCAGCACAGTCTTACAACAACTCTTGGGCTGAACAGATAGAACTCAATGAAAATTAAGGCAAGTAAGTGGACTGGTTAGAAAGAACAGCTACCTTTTATTAAGGACTAACTATAACTGAACACTCTATTTATATACATTACACCTGAATATGAATAAAGGTGGTATATATCTATATACACACACATATATCCCCTGCATTATTTCTCAGCATTATTTTATTTAAATGTTAAAACCATTTTCTTATCCTACCCATTTAACATATAACAAAACCGAGAATGAGAAGTTACGTAGCTTGTCCAAGGTCAACCGAAATTCATTCCTAACTATCAGACTAATGTTAAAATCAACACTTTGGGAGCCAGCAGGTGGTGTGGTGGTTAAGGCACTGGACACTCTCACATGGTTGACCACAGTTCAAGTCCCAGGCCTGCTGGCTTGCTTTCTCACTTTCTCTCTCTCTCTCTCTGGTCAAATTAAAATAAAATGAATGAAGAAATAAAATAAAATAAAATAAATAATTCTTTTTAAAAAATCAACACTTTAAATCTTCTCCCTACACTGTCATTTGATAGAAATAGCACCTTCTTTTTTCGGTGGGTATTACTGTGAAGCAATACCTGCACTGAAAATGTACTTAAAACAAGAAGTTTCTGGTTTAGAAATTGGTAGATCAATGGAGGAAGATGATATAGAAAGAAGTGTATTTGAAAAACTATATGTGAATTTATATAATCTCATATAGCATTTCAAATCAATAGGAAAAATAGCTAGTACTAAATAACCACATGGAAATCGGTGACAATTTAAAGGAAAAAAGTGAAGTTACACCAATATCTTTTGTAACAGAAACTCAACAAAACAAAAGAGTACTTCTAGTGAGCTCTGAGTATTGCAGAAATTGTGCTCCATCCCATTTATGCGAATTAGTCCTTCCAGAGAATTTATCTGGTGAATATTTACTTTCAGAAAATGCACCAAGGAGATATATTTATTAAACATCCCTCAGGGAAAGGATTTTTCAAAAACAGAAGGGAGTAACATTGTGCTGTCTCTCAAGAGTCTAGCGAATACATAGAAGGAAGTGGGTAACTCCCCAGGCCATTTATGTGTTCCCTTTCCGGGGAGAGAGAAGCTTCAAAGGTGGTTATTGTCACTAGGGTCTGTGGGCTGGAGTATTTCTCTCCACTCCTGTTGCTAACTAGAAAAAAAGACACTGCAACAAGATTAGAGGAACGAAAGAGCCACACTTAGACATAGCTCTTCTTGGGACAAGATTAAATAGGATAAAAGCCAAAAAGAATGAGCAAAAATGAGACCACCCAAGGAAGAGAGGAACCTGTCCTTACTATAGTGGGGACTCTTCCCTTAACATAGCAGAAAAGAGGAAGGGTCAGCACAGGTCCTTGGGGAGGAGGGTTGGGGTTGGCGTAAGGCCAGCACTGCATTTGTTGCTGCCCACACGCTCTT